GTTGTTCCAAAACTGCCCATCAAACGCGCACGGTTTGCTCCATCTTCTCTGCGCGTTTGGTCGGTTCCAGGAGCCGATTTCGGTTGTCCATGTCTCCGGGTTGGGTCGCAGCACGCCATTGCGGTCAGGCACACAGGTGAGGCGGTCGAAGTGGTCCTGGCGCACGAAAACGACCACGGGGCGGCCGGTCTCCCAGGCGAGATGCGCCATGAAGCTCCAAAGGGATGAGAATGATCAACGACAGACACGTGGTCGAGCCAGTCGGGAAAATGAGCAAGAGCCAGCCAGTCGTCCGCAGCCCCGAAATCGGGAAGAACATTCGGGATTGAAGAAGTTAGGTACAAACGTATTCTCTGCATGGTCGTTGACGATTGCCCTGATGCTAACGCCACATGGTGGTAGATGATGATACTCTCCGAGTCACTTAAATAAAAGTGGAAAACCACCTATTTGTAGAGAAAATGTGGTGTTCATTGTTTTTTCTACCATTTTTTGACGGGCCTAAATATTTTCCAATGAGAAACATCAAATCTTGATCCATTGTGCAAGGCAACCCACTTGTTTTCCATTGGTCAACCCCCAGCGTGAGTCTTCAGCGCATCGGTCTCCGGCCCCTCCTCGAAGGCTAAGTCCCAGATCGGCAGCCCTTTGGATGCTGTGCTGAGATCCTGTGCTTTGCCCATGCATTTCCCCGGCTTCCACTCGAACCTGATGCCATGCCGTGGTGACACAAACAGGCAAGTATCAGCCCTCGGCAAATCAACACCCTCGCTAAGAACAGGATCTCTTGCCGGTGCGTTTGCTTGGTGATTGCATTATAGTGATCTGCTGGAATACCAGCCTACACAAGGAGTTTGGTGAACTGCTTTCCTTCTCCAAGCGTGTTACAAAAGGCCAGGATCTTCCACGACAGTCGCAACCGTTGAATCAGCAGAGACAACCGGCACCAGGATGGAATAGTCCTGTATGACTCCAGCTTCAAGGGCCGCCCGGAGGCCAAAGTTGAAGTCTGGAAGGTTTGGCACTAGAGTGGCTGAGAAGAAGATCCGCTTGGCAGCATTCAGCGACAAGACCTGCCTTAAATGAGGACCACTCTCCTCCGTGTAATCGTGTAATCTGCCTTCTGCTGCCAAGCAGGCTTGTAGTGATGAGCCTCGTCGAGCAATAGGAGGTCAAAGGACAAGCTCTCGAGCTGCCAGGCAGAAAAAAATCCGCACGCAAACAAACACGTCAGCTGTCAAGTCGGCACTCCATCCAGTCCCCATGCGTGATGCACTCAAGGACCGCAACGTTTCTTCCAGGAGCTGTGCCATCTGTTCCATCAAATCTAGCTTGGTTTCTATCACACAGGCCTTTCTAGAAGACTCCAAGCCACCCAACAAAGGCTCCCAGTTCCGCTCTTCACACCTTTAGTCCTCATGAACCTCTGACATTGCTCCAAGCAGCCATGCGGTCCTCGTCCTTTTCGACCGCCTCCCGGGCTCGCCGGCACCACCGTGTACGATGCTCTGCACCCGTCCAGGGCGCTATATCGGTTGCCACGATCAGCTTCTGCACGTAGGGGTTCACGACTGTTCGGCCTCAGTGCCCAAGTCGCTGGTTGGCGGGTTATAGACATTGGGGAGTTGCATCAAAATATGATCAAACAATGTGTTATGTCATTACAGATTAGTTTCGTCCAATTCCCATGCGTGGGTTCTAGCTTTGGACGAAAGACAAACATGTGAAACACCTGCAGTCCCCACAGCACCTTGGCCAACAAGTAGAAGGTGGCCAAGCGGTTCAATGGCACCACCTGCCCATCAGCATAATCCTTTGCTTGAACTGCCACGGACAGGCCTGTCACAAATCGGCAGCCCAAGATAACCTTTCAGCTTCACCTGAACTGTGGGCAATGTCCCCTGCACTTCATCTCTTGACTTCATGAAGAATCACTTCAATGGGTATCTTCCATGCCGGGCCAACAGCCCATTGCACCGTGTTTCGTTCGCTTTCCCTACCGAAGTCGCGCTTGGCTCCAAGGGACCGGTTGAGGACATCGAGCCGATGACCTCGTCCGGGTGGGAAGAGTTGAGCCACAGAGTGAGGGCCGACACTGTGCCAGAGCGTCTTTCGTGAGGCATGGTACAACGAGTTGCTGCATGAGCAGCGTCAGGATGGTCAGCAAAAGGCATTTGACAAAGGACTTCGCCGCACAGTCACATCGCATGCCTAAAGGCTATGATTCTGTGTGCCAAAGCAGCCAGCAACCAATCTGAACCAAAATGTCCAGCATGCAAACCTTCACCTGTATGATCCTGTATTACAGCTGAAACTTTTTGAGCACCACAATCAACACCCGCAGCAAGTGACCATATGGAGTATTTCAATAACTGTTCTATTTCTACAAACAATCTTATCGCTACTCTCACATAGGGAAGCACCTGTGTCCCAACATTCTGTCGGCTTCATCACTCAAAGCCGTTGTAATTAGTGCTCGTGCTAGTTCCTAATGCTGGGCAACAGTGCGTATTTACATATCCCTCCATCCCTCCCTCCGTCCATCCCTTCATCCATAGTGAGTGAGTAGTCCTGGTTTTCTGCTTGCATCTCTCCCATGCACTAACCGCTCCCCCCATTGAGGCCCCGGCTGTTCCTCTGTCTCCACCACAGATGCCGCGGCCGGCACGAACGCAGGCGCGGCCGGGTTCGAAGGCCCACTGGGGTGCGGTGGTGGCGGAGGGATGGCGAAGCCCTGGTTCGATGGCGCGGAGGGAGGTGGTCACCAGGTGGTCACCGAGGCATGGAGAGTGGCAAAGGGCTGAACTTCTGGGAATTCTGGGGGCCCGGCCCGTCTCATTGAAACTGAGACCCTCCGATGGGTGCAAGCATTTGTCACCATGTGGTGTGAATCTTGATCATGATGTTACACCCATGACCAAAAATACACATTCGTTTGGGCGATGACAATACGCCAGTTCAAGAATTTGGTAAAGGTTGCCTTCAGGTCAGCAAATGCCAAGGCCGCCTCATGTCTATCAGGGTAGTCACGTCAACCAGGGCAATGAAAGTGGTGCAGGACCTGTTGTCACCTATATAGTGTCACACAAACGATGGATCCTGTCTCTCTGTCTCTAGTTTTGTGGTGTCCTCCATTCTTTGAAGCGAGATACATAGGCTTAGGATAGTTTAGGGGATGGGCAATCCCAACACTCTTGCTGCACCATTTTTGCATATTTGGACATATTTGGACAAATCTATGACTGATAAGACTGGGTGCGATGATGCACCTGGCTGCAAGATACACCACAAAGCCCTGGCTGGCGATATACTAGCTAGCAGCTAGCAAGGGGTTGGGGAACTCCCTGTAGTTCCTTGGCTTCCTGTTTCATGGGAAATATGGACAGCCCAGCTCCGAACTCGGAGCAGCAGCTCCGAACCGCGTCGCGAGTCAGTAGCGCCGTAGATCGTCCGTCGTTCGAGGTGTGCTGTCAACGTGAAGCGATGTCAACCGCATTGTCACGCCTCGCGATGAGGGATCCTCACCACTCGCAACGGTCGAGGGGATCCCAAATGCCAGGTACCTCCAGTAGTTCAAAGGCAAGGGGATAGTGGCCAGGGAAGGATCATGTAACAAAATCTGCCGTTTTGTTGGGCACGGAAAAATGGTTCCCATGCGAAGCGTCAGCTGCTTTTTGCTGCTGTGACTTCACCAAAGCTGACGTGAGATATGGGGAGCATGTGCTTTAGGGCAAGTCTAAACGCTCCTTTCAAAAACATAGCTGAATGATGCTGAATGCACTTTTGAGTTAAACAATTGAACTTGAGCAAGAATCTGGATGTTCATCCATGTCCCCAACAGCATCGGAATAAGCCCAAAGTCTAAGATCTCGGTCACACGGTGTTTCATTGGCCCCATGTTTGGTACACCTCCTTGAGAAGCAAATCGCACACCCCCGACCCTCCGAGTACTAGTGGATGGTGGCAAAATAGCTGTTTATCACATGTCACCTGCTGGAAGTGCAACCCAAGTTTATCTCAAATTAACGTTCAAACCCAGCCGAACCAAAGGTTCAGTCAGGTTCAGTCGTCACTCAACAACTATCTTTAGTGACTATAGTGCACACAGCAAAACAAGAACCAAAAGGCGCTTCTGTCGAGTGGCCATCGCCCATGTAGGGACCCTCGCCGACAGCTTTCGATGCCTTCCGAACGCATGACGAAGTTCTTCCACACAAGCGCACTTGCCCAAAGAGCAAGGCATCTCCTCTTTCCCAGTGGTTTCTGAAGCTATGTTTGGTTAGGGTGGGGTGACCCCACCACAAGCCTCACCCAAAAAGCATCAAAAAGACTCCCCGTGGAGCCTGACTGAGACTCGTCTGCCAACACGACGAGTCTCCATCAACTGAGACTTGCTCTCGGCCCCACGGCAACTTCCATGGGTGGTGATTCAGAACAGGGTGAGCAAGCACCTATATCACATCAATGCAGTGCTTCCTGCCTGCGGGATCATGTTATATAACATAAAGAAGCCTAGAGAAGATCGAGTAATCTTGCAGATCTTGCAGGTTAATGTCGGTCATGAGGTGGGTCATAGTCCTTTGAGCCACCAATTCTATCCTTCTGAACTCTCCTGAAGTCCAGTGACCAATGAGGACTCTGCTTGCGGCGCATATCCAGAACGGTCCCACCATGGGGTCACAGCCTGAGTCAAGCCAAGCGAAAAACGTAAGGAACGTGCCTGCACCATAAGATCCTTAAAGCTGCTTTCACACATATATGCAAACACTTCAAACAGCGCATCGTTTCTATCAATTCCGGGCACCTCAAGACTTAATTCAATACTGTGAAACGACCTATCTACAAAAGAGCTATGCTGCCGCTTTGTCTTGACATGGCATCTGCTCAAGCACCGCTGGGTTCACTTTCGCAGGTGGAAGAAGGTTGACCCAGCTACCATGTCAAAGAAATACTGCAAACTACCCAAGGTCAGAAACAACTGCCGCTGTCGCCCGCCATCTTTACTTGGCTACAGGACCAAAGTGCTCCTCCATGGCACGCGACAACCTTTCCAGCATTTCATCACTCCAGGGTCCCTCGGGCAAGATCTCCGGATCCAATGCCTTGGTGACTTCGATGTCCGGCACAGGCAAAAACACTGGGCCATCGGAGTCCTCATCGCTCAGCAGGCTGGAAGCCTCCAGGTCCTCCATGGGAGCTCCGAGCATGGGAAGCTTCAAGGAATCCTCCAAGTCGGTCTGATGGGAAGGGCCGACTTTAGGGCCATAGGTCGCCAAGTCTGCCAAAGGCGGAGGTAGTGGCTCCTCGGCCTCGGAGATTCGTACCGGACGAAGAAACGTCGCCTGAAAATTCCCTTCAAGTGGGGCTTCCAACGACGAAGAAGTGGGCTTCCTGCTCTATTGCTCAGGTTTGAGGACCGTGACAAACAAATTAATTACGTCCGAACGTGTGAAACATGAACTAGAACCCAATGGCTGATTGCGCCAAAATGTGTGAGCCACAGCCTACTCAGCACTTGGCAGGCCTCCGTAGTGGTGTCCACCGCAGAAGAAGAAGCCGCTCCCATTGAAGCAGCCGGGCCTTCCGTATCCACTTCCGGCGACCGGGCCGTCGTTGGCATCCCCTGCTCGGCTAAGAGCGAGGCTTCTTGGCTCAACTCTTGGAGCTTTGTAGCCTGGGATCTGCTGGAGGGACATTGGCACAAAAAGCCAGTCTTTAAATTTACGCCTATTATAAGCTGCCTATAAGATTGTGATTTTTTTACCAACTCAAAGGTTCAAGAAAGAAACATACCTGTGGGTGTTCTACCATGTTGCCAAGATTGCTAGTCGAAGTGCAACCAAGTAGAGGAACAAAAGGACACAGCACAAACCCCAAACAAAAACACCTCTTGAGCCATCCGAGGTAGCCCATGAGGAAATCTCCGCCACCAAAGGATCCGGATCTACGGACTGAACCTGCTCGCCCTGCTCGGCAGTGCTGGGACGTGAAGCTGTTGCCTCCAAGGCTTTCACACTGTCCTGCAGTTCAACGAAACTACATCTGGCCTCCATGCTGGTCGAGTCCCATTCCTCCTTGACTTCAGAGAGCCTGGCCAAGATCTTCCGGGCTTGAGCGAGAGCAGGCCCTGAAGTTTCCGGCGTTTGCGGTGTGACAGGAAGAGGTTGAAGCATCCTCTTCAAGGAATCTTCCAAGTCACCCGCCTCTGCTGTTAGAGTCAAGACTTTGCTGCTGGAATCCATGGCCACTTGGGAAGCTGCTGCCTCTAGCAGCAACTGCTGTAGCTGCTCGGGCTTGAGTTCTGAGTGTCGCTCTTCCTGGAGGCGACCAAGACGATCGTTGATGGCACTGAGTGCTTTTCGGCTTTCTCGTTCTTCAAGCTGCTCACGTAGCACTGGTTCGCCAGGCAAAGATGAGGAGCTCAAATAAGAGAAGGCCGATTGCTTGGACATCTTCGATTTCACACCTGCTGAAACATGACCGGCAGAAACATCGGAGCCATTGTGAACTGATCGGATGGACTTTGCCTCCCATTCTGACTCGGGTATGATTTTGGCCAGCTGGTCGTCAATGGCATGAATCGCTTGAAGATCATAGGGATCCGCCAAAAGCTCCTCTGGGAGGGGGGAAGGCACTACAAGTTCTTCGCCCGCACCGTCATCCACGACCCCCTTCTCCTCATGTAGAGTGTCCTCGACCACCGGATCAAACTTGGCCTGCTTTGGTGGAAGTCCTTGGCTGATCTTCGTCAGATCTGCGGTTGTTGCCGTCAGGGTGAAGGTCGTAGTATCTGACTCACCCTCACACTGATCACCATGAGCTGGCTCGGGGGTGACAAGATGATCACCATGAGCTGGCTGGGGAGTGGCACACCATGCATCTTTGGATGGTGCAAATGTGGATTCGACCTCTGCAGAGCATTCCCAACCACTCCAGTCTACCTCGCTACCCACGGATGGAGTAAAGCAAGCAGCGGACCGAGCCTTCTCACGAGGGATGTCATTCGATGAGCTCTCTGCCGGAGGTGCTTTGGAAAGCCCAGAGGGTTGGCTGCGCAAAAGGCCCTTCTCCTTTAGCTTTTTCAGAAGCTGGAGCTTTTCAGCTTCAGTCTTCTCGCTCTCCCTCCGCAAGCTTTCCTTAGTCGATTCAATCTCCTCTTTGACAGCTTTGAGGCGAGCTAGGCCTTCAGCCTCTTGTCTTGACAACAGCCGGTCGAGCTTAGCGACTTGCCTCGCAACCTTCTCCAGCTCTGATTCCTGTTTCTGCATCTTCACAATAGGCAATTCTGCTTGACCCAAATCTTCTTGAAAATACTTGACCAAAAAGGAAGGCAACTTGAAGCCTGCATCGATGGTCTCTAGCTGACTGGAATGTACTCCTTTCCCACCGGAGCTGGGACGAGACCTTTCCGAAGCGGTCAAAGATGCGTTGATGTCCACGACATCATCAAAGTCGGGTGGGAGGGACACCAGCAGCTCCTCGTTGGTCGGGTTGCCATCCTCGAAGTGAAAAATCTTGCTGCGCAAGCTCTCCATGTAACCCGTGAGTTCTTGGCGGCTTCTCTCTGCTCGCTCCCTAGCCTTTGCAATGCTCCTCTCTAATTCTCCCATGGACCGACCATCTGCAGGCCTTTGTTGTGGCTCTTCTTCAGGTTCCTTCTTCACAACAGGTCGAGTGGAAACACTTTCGGCCTGCATGCTAGGTCGAAAAATGAAACCATCTGCATCTCGAACCAAAGTTCTGGTGCCTTCTGGTGTCTTGGGCAAACTTGCATAAATGGCAGCTGCTCGCTGGTAGGCTGCGCTGCTGGGGCGACTGTTTGCCTCTTCGTCAAACGAGCTGGGCCTGCTGGGGTATGAGCTGCTTCGACCCTCGTTTTGGAAGGATGCCTCTGCTGCAGGTCTGGGCATGGGAGGACGTGCGGCCGTGGGGTGGCTCTCCACAAGCCGAGTTCTGCTGGACTGTGGTTGCCCTTGGCGTTGGCGGGTTGCTACACTGGCTGCTTGCGGAACCTCACAGGCACTGCCACGCGATGGTGGTCCACTCCCCACGTCACGTCGCACCTGTTGACGCGCATCAATCACCAGTTCGCCCGATCCCCATGCGGTGCCACCGGTTCCACCGGCTGAATTGGACCGCATGGAGGTGGGGCTCCCATCCCCCTTGGCCAACTTGAGTGAAACACTCTTCAGAGGTCGTGGTCGCCCAGCTGCAGGCTTTTCCTTGGTCACACTCCAGTGGGCAGCTGCGGCAGCCCCTGCTGAGAGGTTCGTGACTTCGGGCTGTGTTGGAGAATCTGGCGGCAAAGCCTTCAAGGATGCAGACCTTGGCCGCGGCCTGGAGGACATTCGTTCGTCTCTGGCCACGCCTTATGGAGCTGCGCAGCTGTGAAGACCATGCCAGGTCCACATGGCTGCAATCTCATCAACGCCAAGGCACTGGTTCCTATCCTGCTGGCTGCGTTGTCAAGACATTGCTGGGCCATCTCAGAATAAATTGCAAAATTGGCCTTCTGGTGATCATGTGTTGTCTCATTGTCCCCAAGTACACTTGAGGCTCTCCCATCGGCAAACCTCAACATGCTCCATAACACTGATTGCTTCTTTTTGTGCTTGCCTCATGTTCACTGTAGCTGGGGCCAAATATGAAATTGTGGAACTGGGTGTGTCATGGGTCTTTCATTCTTAAAAACCACACAAGAACTCCGAACCGAAGCTGCTCCCAACCAAAAAGGGCACAACCTTAATTCTATATTGCAACAACATCCCGATTCAACCCGCTGGCAGCCTGGCAGCTGTGCATCTAATTGCTACACCAAGGGCTCTACAGGCATTGGCGCTCCAGCATCGCCGGCAAAGGGACCATCACCTCGGACGACCGACCACTGAGAGCGAACAACGACCAGGACCATGCAGGATCAAGCAGCATCACCAGCTGGAGTCGATTTGAGTTGATTCTGCCTATGCCAAAGCAGTGGCTTGAGTGGCTTCCAAAGTCATAAGCAGCACATTGGCAATAATGGCTACATAGCGGCGAGCATTTGTACCATTGTGTACCCAGCTATCGGCCAGCAAGTGACACTAAGGTCTGTGCTCAAGGCACTGGGGACAAGCTTCGCAGCTGTGTGGCACGTTTATTGATTTCTCCCCGGCAAAGACCTGCTTTTCTCTCCCATAATATGCCATAGTGCTCCATGGAAACACACCAGAAACAGGGATTGTATGGGATTGTACTCCCCCAGCTGGTAGGAAATGGCTCGCATGTGGGGTACCGTCAGAACCGCTGCTTTTGGATGTTGCCACCGCAAATCCACATGACATGACATAATCCGCACCTGGAGGAAGGTCCCAGTCACAGTCCTAATCTATGGATGTCCCAGTCCTCGAAACCAGCGATCGAAAATAATATCCTCGATCATGGAATTCCCCTTGGCCTTGGACATAGAAGTTGAAACAGTGTCCATTTCGATCAGAATTGGGGCACTCCAGTCTCCATAGCCAGGGGTTCAGCAAAGGTTTACAGCCAGGGGTTCCTCTCATCTCTCCACGTCGAAACCAGGTGAGGTGAAACCACCCGTGGCCTCCGCCCATGACTGGCCGCGGGCGTGGCGCCTGGCGGGCAGGCGCCGCGAAAGAAGCGCCAGCTGGGAAACTGGCTGCGCTACAGCGCATCTGGCATCCAACAACTCTAGAAGTGGAACATGGCCAATTGAAAGACCGTTTTCCTCCAAAAAGCAGGAGCTCGACTTCCAGGATGCTTGGAGGGAGGGCAGCAAAAATGTGTAAGAACTCGGAAGTGTCTCCAATTTTTGGAGATCTGTTACGGGTGCCTTTCCGTTGGCCCCACTGCTCATCTACCAAGTGATTGTGTTCCCAGCCGCGCTCGCCTGCCAAGTGGCTGGGCCTGGGAGTTTGTCGGCTGGGTCAAGGGACTTTACCCTGAGATTTGCATGCAGTACACCAATCCTGAATCACGATCATGACATGACCATCATTGAATCATGCCTGAGATCAAGCTGAAACATGAGCCATCTTGTCCGAAATGCTGAATTATGCATCAAATTCCCGAAACACTAAAATCAAAGCATCCCCATGAACCATACCTGAAATCAAAAGGCCTCACGTCTTCAGTTTCCAATGCCAATCCCAAAAAACGTTTTGGTCAGCTCACTGGGCTATGCATCTTTTCAATGGATACCTGCTTCGACTCTGCCTGGAGCCCAAGAGCTGGAGGATTTCCAGCCACTACCTGAGAGGGAGGGCGGTCACCATTCCTCCCTGTCCGTCGGTGTTGGGCATGGAATGGCATGGATGCAGTGGGACTGCAGGTTTTTGTTTTTTTAATCACTTTAGTTTATTTTTTTTCCTGAGGTAGCAGTGGAGTGAACTCCTTGGACATCAGGCCGACCCGCTCCGAAGAGAAGCATGGTCAACTGCATGCCGCCACATATATGATGGACTTGTCTGGGAGTTGCCTAGATAAGCCGTATACCGTATATGGAAAGGAGCTCTTAAGTGCGTCTCGTGAGTGTCTTTCGGCTGGATGGCTCTGCCACCCACTAACCCCAGCTCGCTGAGCGTCTGGACCCCAGTCGTTTCGTTCGAAGTCCCAACAAATCTTCCAATCTCCATCGTCATCATCAGCCTGCAAACATGGTCAGGCATGGAGATCGGCAGGGCTTTTGAGGGAGAGGCTTGCATAGGCTGTCCTGGAAACCAGTGCGGGATAAACCTTTATTAACATCTTATTCGTAAGCTTTTGTGCTAATCGACTACTATACTCACTACTTTCAGCGATTCCCCACAAAGCTTTTCTAAAGCCAAGCTGCAAACACATATATGATTATCATTCTGTTTAATTACTTTGGAAAACGCCATTCACTGAAAAGTGTGGGTAGATCAGCCTCTTGCCTAGCTCAACTGAACGCAAGACGCGGAACGCAGCTGCACGGCCCCAAAGAGATTGGAAAGAGTGTGGGGCCCAAACTCGACCTTTTGGGAACACATCTCCGGACATACCCTGCTCTCATTTCCGAGTGCAAAAGCCAACGGTCGACCGGACACCAAACAAGAAACAGGTTTCCCGAGGCTCAAGCCATGAAATCCTCGGCATGCCGGATTTACACAAGCAGCATGCTCCACATCCACTCATGTCGCATCAAAGAATCTTAAGAATTGCACACGCAAACACACACACACACACACACGCACGCACGCACGCACGCACGCACGCGCGCGCACACCCAAGTGCCAACGATTATCGCCCTTTTTGCTAACGGCCAGAATTAAAAAAAAAAGCATGATGCGCAAAACCTACAGCTTTCCTTTCCAGGAAGCAGCTTGGTGCAGCAAAGGTGCGACTGCCATGGTCAGGGGGGCCTGCTTGGCCACACACTATCTGATGATCCACTTCTCTGCTTGCAAAACTGCGGACTCAAAATCTTGTCCTAAGGTCGGGAGTAGGTGTTCAAAAGGTGCCACATGTACATGTTCCCGTGTCTCTCAAAAGCCCTATTCACTTCCAACGTGCCTCGAAACGCGATCCCCGAGCAACCACTGAGCCCAAGTCCAAGAGCACAGCGAGGCAAATGGGGGGTCAACAAATCAAGTTGCATTTCTTCAGGACACGTCAAGTCCTGGAATTTCGACTCAGCCTGCAGGCTGCACTACGCAACTCTATATAGATAGGTTGCACGAGTAAAAAGCGAAATGAACTGCTTTATATAATTATACTACTGTACTATAGTGCAGTATTGAGCAATAAGTCATATTAAGCAACCGGATATCAAAGCTGCTTCCAAACCTACCCCATGGCAATCACGCCACCAATCCGCTGGTGCTGGACCTGTGATTGTTGTGGCCGGCGCTTTGTGCGTGGCGTTCCATTTCCAAAGCCAGGCTGCTTTCTTTTTGCACCTCAGGATGACGCACCCTGACGGCCCTGACCCGATCTCGATGAACCCTGAAGCCAATCCACTTAAGCAAATCCCATGTCGACGCCCAACTTTGGATGAAGAATACCAAAGCTTGTCAAGCCCCCCAAATGTCATCAATCTTGCCTGGTGGCGCTAAATCGGAAATGCGTTTGTCTGCCATCAACAAGGGAGAACATATACATCGCATGTTCAATCACTGGACCTAAGCAAGCGGCAAGCAGCACATCAAAAGCTGTGCATGGATGTTGTTTGCTTTTTGCTCTCCGGTCGCAAGGACATCTATGAAGACCGTGACTCAGCTTGACCTACCCAACTCACCAATCTAGCGGGACTGCAGCTAGCTAAGGAGCCACCAGAGTTTCTATATAGCTCCACATGTTGGCTCTTCAGGACGATTGATTGCGTGCACAACACAAGTAAAAAGACCCAATATAATATATAGATAGTATATAAGATTGAACAAGTTATGTTATAATATATACAGTATACCTGTACAGAAAAAACTTTAAACAATGGGATCTGGCTGCGGCCCCGGCATCCAACGCACGGAGCGCTTGCACTTCCGCCACCAGGCTCTGCATGTCCTTCTGAGTGGCCTCCGGAGGTGGAGGTGGAGAGGCGGTGGGAAAGTCACCTTTCTTTGGGGGGGAAGGAAGAGCCTGTCCCAGTGTCGAAATTTTCCATGGTTCAAAGAAATCATCCTACACACTATTGTAATGCATATGTTGCCGGGACAATCAGCTCGAGAATGCTTTGGTACGACCTCTCGTAGTAGCTCCGATCGAAGCTACTGCCACTGCGCACTTTTCCCGCCCCAAGCGCTGAGAAAAGTCTTCCCCCCTTCGGAGAGTTGGGAGGGCCGCCGTTTGGCGGACCAAGCGGAAAGGGAGAACCTGGAGTTCCATGCAGGGCTTGGAGAACACAATCATACATACATGGTAGGAGAGACCGATATGCCCAATATTTATATAAATCTTGAAACTTGATAACAACAAACAATGATAAAGGACTGTAAAACTCAAGCAATGCAAAACAATGCAGAGCAGAGTCAAGAATTGAGTATATATTGTAGGCCACAGGCATATATATATATATATAGGTTGCAAATATATTTCTGGATTTTTTGTCGTTTTTTTGTTTTTCGTGTTTCGTGGCAGGTGCAGTACTTTGTGGACCTTGCAAAGCACATTTCGTGGCAGGTGCAGGACTTTGTGGGCCTTGGAGTGCAGAGTTTGTGGCAGGCGCAGGACTTTTTGTGGGCCTTGAAGTGCAGATTTCGTGGCAGGTGTAGTACTTTGTGGTCCTTGGAATGCAGATTTTGTGGCAGGCGCAGGACTTTGTGGACCTTGAAGTGCAGATTTCGTGGCAGATGCAGGACTTTGTCGGTGTGGAAGTGTAGAGTTGGTGGCAGGT